ATATTAACGGATGTGACTGGTAACTTTTACTGTGAAACCCTAGGCGCCCCGTTGGCAGGCCAGTCACACTGGTTCTCACTACAAGAGGTTACGACACCCCCTCCCCCACCAAATGCTAAGAAAAACTAAAACATATATATACATATTTACAAACGTGTTATGTGGGAAGTTAGCACCAAAGGCTTAAAGGTACTACACCCTGCCGAAGGGTGACCTGGAGGTGGTTGTGGCAAAGGGTAACCTCATTCTCCCAAGTACAAAAACTCCACATACTGTATATGGTTTAACCTATATACAATGCATGCTTCCTTCACATTCGCTTTAGTTATATACATAAACCAATTTTAAATAATAAAAATACAAATTTGCTATTGACATTCGGCGGCAAGGCTATAACAATTTGCATATATTTACAAGATCTTCATCCCATACTACACTCTCAGGCCCAGGCTGCTCTGACTGCTCGACACGACAGCACATCCGAACATGAACACAGTGTGTAAGTAATGTAGAACAAACTTTGCTACTTCTTCGTTGATAAATGTGCTACGACAGATTCAGTCGATGCAAACGTCAGAATTCGGCACATCTTATTTTAACTGCTACATTTGTATTCACTCAATCAATGGAAACGATAGAGCGCCCTCACAGCGTAAACAATATGATTGATTGGAAATCTTAAGAACTAGCTTAGGTTCATCAGTGCACCGACAGATTATTTATTCATCCGATACATCCATCTTTGGCAATCTGGGATACAGAGAATTTAATCCAAGATAATGTTTACAGATCTAGATACTACTACTTGCACATTTGATAAATGAAATGAATGATATGTTTTGAAATTGTTGGAGTCTATTTCTCATGCGCATCTATCTCACTTCGATTTGAATTGTTGGGCGGCTTATAGATTTGGCGGATTGGAGCAGAAATGCATGTACTATACGCACTGCACAGTGTATCACTATAGTGACTCAGTAATGAGATTGAAAACAATGGTGCGGTATGCTACATTTCAATCTGACTAAAATCCAAGGTAGGTATGAGGCTTCGAATTATTTTTTTTTATTATTATTATTATTATTATTATTTTTTTTTTTTTTTTTT